GTGAGAGCAGATAGCGCTGAACACCAAGAATCATCCAAAAGAGAGTCGTACACTAGAGTAGCGAGCCAATGTCCATTGCCCAATCGGGCTACATCAACAGCATCACCAATGTCGATATCTCACATGAACAGAGTCTGACTCTCCTATCTACACCTATCACTATCCTACTCTACAGCATGAAGCAACTGGAAGACTTGACCACCAACAAGCGATGACGTCAACACCCAATGCAGACTTCTTCATCACCAGGTAAGCCGCTTCTCTCTCTCTCTTCCCTGTCTTTACCCACATTGTCTTCTCTCTCTCTCTCCCTCTTGTCCCGAAGACCACCACGCCACTCGACCTCGACTCAGCGCAAGAAAGCTTGGCTATGGCTATCTGCGCTCCTGCGTCCTAGCGCCCCTCTGCGCCACAGCACCCAGCACCTGCGGCCTGCGCCCTGCACCAGCGCTAGCACCAGCTATGGGCTTCCGCTTTGCCAGCTAGCGCTGCTCCCAACTTCACCTCGCGTCGCAGCAGCGTTGCCACGCTGCTCGAATGAGCCAAGCCCCTTCTGCCTCACCCGCTCTGCCTATATCCCGCTTGCTTGGCGTGCAGCCTGTCCCAGTAATGTGCCTGGGCCCTTGCGTTTGCGCCCAAGCCCGTAACTGGATAGGGCCCAGTCATGCAGTTGTGCCCTTGTCGTCCAGACCCGTGGCCAGATTCAGTCAGTAGGCCAGTTTCCCGTAGGCATTTCCAGCCTCTGAGTTCAACGTGCATTCTCAGCCTCACACTTACTTGCTCAGGGCCTAACTGTCATTCAAGGCCCTGGGCCTCAAACAGTTGCTACGTCTTAGCACTTGTGCGTGCCCCAACCAACTGGCGTAGAAAAACTGTATGAGGCTGCTTTCGTGAAATGGGGTTTGCAGGGCCTCTCGTCGATATATCGGCCCGCCTTCACTTAGGGCGGGCACGAGGCTTGCTGGGGGCCTATGGCCAGTACATGTGGACGTTGGCTAGGCCCCGTGAGGGGTCATTCCTCACATTCCATCCCCCTTAGCTTCGAAAGTCCGCTGAGATGCTTACTTCGCAATAGCCTTCCCTTTAAGTTGTCGTCCATACTCTGCCACCACCTGAGGTGCTGTCTTCATTAGCTCCTCCCTGGTGAACCATCGATCTTCTTAAGGATCAGTGTGATGTCTGGACCTGACCCTGTATTCCCTCCTGGGTTTCGGAGGCCTGCCTCTGCCCAGCGATCTGGGAATAGGTAGATCTCTGTGTTCCAGGATATCATCGACGTCCACGTGGCCATCCATGGTTGGGGGCAGCATTGATCTCCTTGAAGGGAACTGATCTGTCTCAGCGAATGGTGCAAGCTTGGAAGCATGGAAGACTGGGTAAGTGCGTAGGTGACCAGGGATACGGATGACATAAGAAGGACTATCCAAATCATTCCCCACTATATCCAAAACTTCCCAAGGACCAAAATACTGCGGCATTAACTTCCTAGAGATCCCGAACTCTTGTACCAGCTCACTAGCCTTAACCCAGACACGTTCCCCTACTTGAAATGTGGACTGTCGACGATGTCTATTCTCGGAAGCAATCATCACTTCCTGAGATTTCTTGATGTGCTCGACAGTCTGCTGCAGCAATTGCTCATACTGCACTCCATACTCGATCGATCCTGGAGTTGCAGCAGGTCGGTTTTCAGGTAGGAGGAAGTCTAGGGCTGATCTAGGCTTCCATCCCAAGTGCAGTTGGTTCGGACTAACGTCGGTGCTGCTGTGCACAGCATTGTTGTACAGGCTGGCGATGAGAGGTAACTTCTCATCCCAGTCATCCTAGTTGGGCTTGATGTAATGCCTCAATCTGCTCGGCTTGTCCGTTGGCCTCAGGATGATTCCCAGAGGTTATTTAGAGTTGAACTCGAGATACTCATTATAATGTGTTTAAGAAAATATAAGCTGCGCGACATGGTTCTCATCTCATCCCCATTCTGCGTTGTGTGTGTGGAGTCATAATCTGTGTGAATGGTGATGATGCATGCATTGTGATACACTCTGGCAAGAAGAGGTCAGCCAGGACCCTTGCAAACTTGGTATCAGACCAGATGCTTGCTGCACTCACTGCGCTGGCATGAACCAGGTCGGGCCGGCGAGAAGGAAGAGAGAACGCTGGCTTGTTAGGGGTGCTGACGATGGTGGGAGTTGAGTTGAGTAAGAAGTAGATTGGGATATGGGGGAGGCGTAGCCGAAGAAGAAGGGGCACAAGATACTTACCTGGAGCACGTTGGAGTGCGAAGCGACGAGGAGCTTCATCAACGACAGCTTCAAAAAGAGAAGAACCTTCATAGCCCCTTACCTGATTGCATGTATGTGTGGTCTAAACCTCTTCCCCCTTTCTCTCTAGAGGTCGCTGCTGCTGCTGCCAGTCTGAAGTCTTGTCTGGATTGTCAGGACAGGTCAGGGTCTGAAGTAGTGAGGGTCTGAAGTAGTCAGAGTCTGGGAACGTCATAGTCTGGTTACGTCAGATAGGAGTGGGCAGAGTCCTGCGCTGTCAGAGTTAGTCTGCCACTATCTTCTAACCCTCTCATAGGCAGGCTATGCAGGATAACAAAGGTTGGAGTTCGCTGTATATAGTGGCTAATTGCCACGTCAGAATGCAAATATGATGTTGGACAAACAACATGATTCATTAATCAAAAAATAAAATCCGAGCAAAGTGATACAGTCCAAATGATTATGTTTAATTTATGCATCTGACACATACGTACTCCAACTCTAGCCTGCATCAAGAAATAAACAGCAAAAGATAAAAATTTAGATAACATGTAAAGAGAAAGACATGTCTATATGCGAGAGTGGCAGACAGTGAAGTTCTGGTATGAAGAAAGGCAGACCGTGAGTTTCTGATCCAGGGAAAGGCAGGCAGCAAGTTCCTGAACTTGAGACAGGCAGATAGCGAGTAAAAAAAAAAAAAAAAAAAAGAGAATTCCTATTGCATTATTATCTGAATATTTGTTATTTCATGAGCAGCACCTTCCAGAGTGTGAAAAAAAAAAAAGAGTATACACGGTATCCCATCTGCTTTAGGAAGACTAGTAGTGTGCTTCTTGGGGTGATCACTTGGTGGACCAGCGGAGGTCTCCCCTGTGTTGTCCATCCACCATGGACGATTACCCCATGTAGAGCCTGTTGGCCCTTTCTGTCCTGCTGGACCCCTTGTTTCGCATGTTTTTCCCCCTTAGATTTAGGAGAGTGTGCACGTACCGCATGATGATGCGGTCTAGAACAGTTAAGCCTGGGCCCACACCTGAAGAACAAACAGAAATTGACCGGCGTCAGACCGAGAAAAAAAAAGAGAAAGAAGCAAAGAAAAAACAGAAAAAAAAAAGAGTTAAAGAGGAAGTTGAAAGAAAAGATGAAGAAAGAGTTAGAAGAAGAAATGAAAAACATAGAAGAAGAAGAAGAGGAAGAACATGAAGAAAAAAAACAAATCTATAGACCCTCAAAATTTCAGAATTTTCTGATAATTTTTCCAAACGTGAAAAATCGCCGAAGTTGCCACTGTCGAATTGTGGGACTAGTTGATAAGTCAACAAAAAGCGACCGAAAGCTGACACACCAACATCATCACCGTAGTCATAAAAGTAATGAGGGACAAAGGATGAGAAGAAAGAAGGAAGGAATGAGGAAGGAAGAAAGAGAAGGAGTAATGGAAAGCCAAGTCAAAAACAGTTCCCCGAACGCGACTTGAATTCTTAAAAAAGTCGTGGAATACATGAACGGCGAGTACGAAGTTATGATCTATGCATTCTGTGTGAGTCTATAGATTGCGGCGGTCGTGGTAAATAAAGCGAGCGGCCTCGCTGCTGCTTCAGCAGTGATGATACCCACAACTCATTTCTAAGCCCTCTCTCTCTCTCTCTCTCTCTCTCTCTCTCTCTCTCTCTCTCTCTCTCTCTCTCCTCCTGCACGCACGAGTGACGCTGACGAAAGAATTTGATGTATGCTCTATTTAACGCTATACTCATTTGTTTTTATTTGGTTATTCACTTAAAAAAAAAAATGGGCAGGAGGAGGACAGGCGAGGGAAGTTCGGGAAAGGATAGCAATAATGTGTCAGAGGGGCGACTAAGGATGCAGAAGGTGGCGGAAGGAGGTGGGAGGAGTCAGAAGGAGGCGGTAGGATGAAGAAGGATCATGGTTTTCGCCATCACCATCGTGATCATCTTCGTCACTGTTATCATATCTGATTCTTTTAATCGCCTGTCATCGTCGTTCTTATCATCTTCGGTTTTAGCCTCATTCTTGTCCTTATTTCCTTCCAAAGGGAGGGTGGCATGCCACTTCGGCACATGAATGCAATTTATGGTGCTTCGCATGTAAAAATGTTTGTCGGTATTTGGTCGGAGCCCCTTTTTCAACCGCCTGCTGCACTTATGTCGGAAGGGGGTATGCTCTATCCTGTTCCAGAAGGGAGCGTTACTTTCAGAAGCCTCTGGGAATTCTCCAGCTTTTCTCCCTTTTTCATTCCCCCTTCTTTCCCGCCCCCCCCTCCCGACCTCCCTACCCGCCGGCTCATTCAGCCTCTCTGTTCTCTAGTTGGTTGCAAAATTCAGCAGTCGTCGACGAACTGTGGTTGGGCCAATGAATGCGCCAACGTAGAGTTTCCTAAATGCGACCTAATCAACGAAAAGACGTTTTTGGCAGTCTCTTTCATCGGCGGCCTTGCACAGCCTTACCGGTTTTGGGTTTACGATGCTGAGGGCATACTCATACTACTTGTACTCGTTCGACGGAGCCCTTGACGTGCATTGCAGTTCGCAGCCAGGTTTGGCCGTGGACAATGAATGCCTAGATCTTACAAAATAACTTTTTGTCAGTATACGCATGAACACTGAAAGCAACTCAACAATGTGACCGAACTAGTGAAGGGATTCAGGGGAGACATGCATTCCATTGTGGATTTAGGGGAAAGCTTCCTTAATGAAATGCATAAGTGCTTTTACAGCGGAATGATACCACAGCCCTGAAGGTCCAAAACCGTTCTCGTTATTGTTTATTTGTTTGTTTGCTTTTGCGTGTGCATTCGTGTGTGTGTGTGTGTGTGTGTGTGTGTGGCAGGAGAGACTGTTTCGAGTTGTGGGGTTTCCAATCATGAAAAATTGCCTCTAGGGATACAACAACTGCATGTTTGGGTATGGGCAGGTGAGACTTGTTCCGGAGTACCGCCACGATCACCTACCCCCGAGAGAGAGAGAGAGAGAGAGAGAGAGAGAGAGAGAGAGAGAGAGAGAGAGAGAGAGAGAGAGAGAGAAAAAAAAAAAAAAAAAAAAAAAACACAAAAAAGGGGCCTTTCCAGGCTTCCATTATGCTCAAGTAAATTGAGGCCGGGAATCCCTCAACAAACAACCCGGAAAACATGGCTGGGAGCATTACCCAGTTTCCCTTGAGGCGTTGGGAAAAAAAAAA